CGATTGCATTTCATTTCAGGAGAATACACCGAAACACATGCTGGAGAGAAAGATGGAGGCGATTTTGATTGAACACAAAAATTCCGAAAAAGAACGGCATTAAAGACAACACCTTTATTACACCTTTGCATTTCATTTACGGCAAAGATACAAAGAAACAAGAGAGAGAGAGAGAGAGAGAGAGAGAGAGAGAGAGAGAGAGAGAGAGAACGAAATCGAAGTCGTCATGTAAAAAAGGAAAGTGCATACTGCACTTCATCGACGCCAATTACAATTCAGAGTTGACGGAATCATCCGTCCCGTCACACGATTGAGGCCATCAACAAACGAAACAAAGAATGTAAATAAAAAAAAAATTGAAAACGAAAACAAATGTCATTGAAGGACTCGTCCACCGAATCAGACCACTACCCAATTCCCTGGCCAACACCGCCATTGGGGGAACGGCACATCGACGACGACGGCGATGGCTAAGCTAAGCCACATCGACGACGGAAAGACTATCACTTTCGCGACGTCCAATTCCATGCAAGCGAACAGAGAGCACAACAAAGGCGACAGTGAGTTTAACGTTTGCCGATCGCCTTCGCTATCTCGAGCAAGGCGTGACACATAAGCTTGTTGACTTCGTCTGACGCTGCGTAGTGTTTTTTCTGCACTTCGATCTCCACTTCCAGCACCTCGCACTGCCGTATGGCGATGGAACAATGACGTTTGTTGTTGCTCTCTATCGTTGACACCATTAACGCCCCGTGCTTCTCCATGCAGTCTATCATTGCCTCAAAAGTTTGCTGCCTCGTGCTCTTCCTCTTGTCGAAACCGCCTGCGCCACTCGTCGTCTGCGAAGAACCTTTCGTGGACCCGTCGTCGTCGTCGTTGTGCTCATCGCCCACACATTCAGGATCCACAGAGGAGGCGGATGGCAGACGCACACCACCCTGAGCGCCAGTGTCAGTGATGTTCTTCGGGTTTATGGTGTGGTTCTTGGCGGTCGACCCCAGTATCTCGTCGTAAACCGCACGATCCACATTGAAACTGAAGCCCTTCGACATCCTGTCCTTCCCAGACAATTGGAAGACGTCCTGTTTCCCGGACAGTCCTTGGAAATGATGAACCTTCTTGAACTGCTGCATTAGATTGTCCCACTTCTTCCCGCACCGATCGGCCTCTCTTTCGACGCCCACCTTCTTCAACCTCGTCGCCACATCGAGCCACTTCCATTCTCGTGGCTTCATCCGAGCGTACGCGTCGCCCATCCCCTGCAAATGCGCTTTCTGATCACTTTTAGCCCGGATGAGGGCTATAATGTCGTCGACGGACCCAGAAGTGACGACCTCCTTCACCATCAACGTCACCTTCGACATCGCTGCCCTTGCCTGCCGTCCTTTTGTCCCGACGACCATTGCCGCCACACGACTTCGTCTTCCCGTCCCTACCTCCCATAGCGGCTGACTGCTTCGACGGCGAAATGTAGCCTGTGTCGTCCTCCCCACCTTCAGCGCTGTTGTCGTTCCATTCGGGGTCGTGCGCGTCCCCCACTGCGTCCTCGCCGTCGTGCCCGTCTTCCCTAACACGCAATCGCCGCACCCCCCAAGTTATGGACTCCTCCCGCCCCAACCTCATCAACCGTCGCTGTTCTGCCCACACCTCCCTTCCGTCACGTGCGTCACCAACATCACCAATGCCACGCGCCGTCTCCCTACACTCGCCAACACGGCGGCCTGCACTCGAACCGGCGGACAGGGAAGACGAAGACTGCATCCACTGGGGGCGAGCGGAGGCACCCCTACACACAGACGGCGACCGAAATTGCTCCCTCGGAGGATCCTTGTTGTTCCCCGAAGCCTCCCGCAGCGGCGCTGGAGACCTGGGTGATCGCTGATCGTCACGTCGCCGCCATCGTCGTCAGGATGGGGGTTTACGACGACCGTCACGTCGCCGCCATCGTCGTCGGGATGGGGGGTTACGATGACCGTTCGAGAGACGGCTGCCGACCTCCCGCTGCCGAGTCCAAACGACAAATTCACGCCGCCATCGCCATCGGTGTCGATGAGCCCCTGTTGGAGGAGTTCGGTGTACGACTGCCCTTTACAGCCCTCGCGGCCTCCAAACAGCTCTGTACCCGCCCACTCCTGGGTGGATCCGCTTCCCAGCGGCACGGGCCGTGACCGTCTATCATCCCCTTCCTCGTCGTCCATGTCAGGTAGAGGTTGCAAGTGCGGTGGCAGGTGCGCGTACCCGGACCGCTCCGACGGCCTTGGACTATTCGACGGGCTGTGCCTGGACCACCGCCCACCGTGCTCCCCTGCGGACCCACTGATCGCCTGCCGGCCCTCCATCCTGTCGTTGTTCTTCAAAGACCTCCTTTTGCGACCACGTCGCGGAAGGCTGCCGATGATGCACACGTGGAAGACAACCAGGAGGAGCAATAGGACGACCAGCAGCAGCAGCGGCAACCTCCGAAAGACGTCGGCAATGAAAAGCATGTGGATGACGGTGGCAGCTAGAAGACAACAGGGGATCTATCACGTAACGACGAGGGACACTGCTGCAAACGCCTGACCGCTACAAACGACAAAAGCAGGGTAACACATTCTGTTTGTGAACACATTGCGGAATCGCGCGGCCGGAGGACTGTTGAAATATTCGAATCTAGCGACCGTTGGGCGCCTTCCCGCTCGGGGCCAAGGGCGGCGACGCAAGAAAGCCGCTTTTCGACGTCGTGGAGGCCACCGGGCCGCAAAGGGGACCGTTGGCGGACTCTTCCATGACGCCGACCGTTGCCGATCGAAGATGTCCGTCCACGGGCGCCAGGAACAACAGTGGTACAGACGGCCGTCGCAAAATGTCGTCGATAGAGCTGCCCACGACGTCCCGATTCTGCCGGATGCTCGACCTCCGAGGGACCTCGGGAGGTCCCTTGGGGAACGCGTCGAAATGGTTGTACCCCGAGGAATCCCCGAGGAATCCCCGAGGAATCCCCGAGGAAATGTTTTCACTTTTTTTTTTCAATTTGTTCCCCGAGGATAAGTGGAACGATCATTTCCTCGGGGGATTTACGCGCCCGAGGAGTGTGGAACGAGCCCCACTGTCTTCACCGGAATAGAACGCCCAGTCACTATAGCGGTATCAGGACTGAAAATTGCACCAAATATGGCTAGAAGGACTGGGTGTTCTATCCTGGTGAAGACAGTAGTCACGAGCAGATGCCCAGATCTCCTATGCGAGAGGTAGATTCCCACGTGTTACGCACCCATTCGCCACAGTGACTTTGTTTTCAACTGAGAAAACAGCGTTCGACTTGCATTTGTTAAGCATATCGCTAGACTAAGTGTTCATTCTGAGTGCAATATCGTCCAACGAAGCCCCCATCCGGGTACTTGGAATCTCACTATCAACAAATGGTAGGCCACCAGTGAATAATGAATGGATACTCAAACCGCCCCTAGAAGAGTTGACGCAATGGAAGGACAAACACGCTTCCTTGATGGGGCGCTCTCTGGTGATCAACAATGTGGTACTCGCCTCCCTGTGGCACAGGTCAGCCATCTGGGCCGTAGACACGACAGTCCTTTGCCCCTTACAACGCCAGATAGCACATTGTTATGGCGGGGTGACCACGAAAAACACAAGGTGATCAGCAGGGTCGCATGGCAATCCATAATTCAGCCAAATACAGTGGCTCAAACGCCTTCTGTTCTGCCCCGATACCCCATGGAAGGGGCTAGACTTAAAACAAATCTTCAGGCTGACCCCTGAAACAACCACTAATATTAATCCACTAACATGGCTAGAAAACAGGGGATAGCCAATACCGAGAGGACACCCTCGACAAAAGAACCTCGCGATGACCTCTCCAAGGAAATAGGTGAGGGAGGATCTGTGGAACGATCACTTCTGGCCATCTCTACTGAGGACATGGAGAAACCTCCCCCCTACCTGACAAATCCCAACCAGAAAGATGAGGCGAACTACTACGACAACCCTTTTTGTTGACGTCAGGGGTTAGGTCCTCCACTGTGCGGACTGCCCCTGGCGTGTGTGGATGAAGAGGGGTGTACTCTAAATAAGAGATATCTAGGGTTGAACCAGGACGGACTGGATCGACCGGGACCTGCTTAAGCAAAAACTAAGATACAGGAGTGAAAGACTTACAAGGAATTCCTAATCGACGTCGAGGCAGATCAAAATATGGTACCAGAAAACCCCAAATTGAAATATGAACCGAAAAATCTCACAAGTCTCGCTCTTCGAGCCTTTGATTTTAGAGAATTGCAAGTCTTCCGCTCTTCAAAACGACAAAAACCGGCAACCGGCTTTCCTTCGGCCTCTCATCTCACGGCGAGCGCACCACAAAGTGGATTGATGGTGGAAATAGCTTAATGGTAGAGTGGGACCTTCCCTGGTCCTTGCACGGCCGGGCTGCCCGGGAAAATAGGGTGACCCGGGCGGCCCGGCTGGTAGCCTAGAAAAACTGTCAATTTTAACGAAATGCCTGTTATTGTGGTTCCGTCATCCTCCACTGTTTCCATCGCAGATGGTTGTCCTGATCCAATTAGTCTCTCTGCGCTGTCCAACCAGATAGATGGAAAGTTATCAGAGAGTTCATTCCGTTTGGTTATATCTGGTTCCTTCTGAAGCATGATTCTGAGCTCTTGCCAGGCCGCATCTGTGTTGACGGTGATTGTTTCTAGAATCGAGGCACGAGCCTCCATGTAGCCATATGTGTGCTGCCTGTGCTCATGTGCACATCTCATTCGCCACGCAGCCATTAACATTGGCGGTCGTGTTACTGCCAGCAGGTTGAGGCTGAAGGGTGTCCACCTGGCCACTTGTGGGGGCGTTTCCCCGAACAAAATGGTCTTGAGGTCCCACGGAAGGTGGTTGCCCCCTGCTCCGCTCCACCCCCAACGTCCCCCCTCCTGAACCTTTCCAAAGCCTCCCCCAACCCTTCCCTTAAACCTGTTCCCCTGCCCTCCTTTCCCGTCCACACCCGGTCCCCACTCCCTTCGCAGAAGGCCGGCCAAGCAGGGACTTCCCACTGGAGGAGCAGCAGAAGGGATTACTCCCCGGAGTGAAGATGAAGTCAGCACCCACGTCCGGACAACGGAGCCAGCCCGGGCCGAGCATTGGACGGCAATGTACGTCGGCTTGCGGACAACAGACTGCTCCCCACAGCCGGCTGAGACAGCAATGGAAATAGATCTTAAAGACGACAACACAATGACAATACAATGACCTGGGACTTTGGGAGGGTGGGAACAGGGGGTGGCCGAGGCCACCCCACACTTGGAAGGGTGGGAACAGGGGGTGGCCAAGGCTGCCCGACGCTGCCACGCTACACCTTACCTCACACTGCCACAGCACCGCACAAGACTGCAGCTCAGGCAATTGGAGGAAGGAGGGTCAACAGGGTTTTAAGTGTTTAACGGGTGTGCTGCTCTCACTGGATGGTGGACGGATGCACGGGGCTCGAACTCGGTGGAAGTAATATACAAAACACAGGACAATTCACACGATAGACAGACCATGCAGCATACACACAACAACAATTGCACTACAATCTGGCATGCGGACGCACATAGTACGTTTCACTGGGCTTACACAATGACCACGGAATGWTAGCTAGTCTTTCCATGAGAACACACTACCATCTTTGTACAGTATACAGGGAKGGACGCTGGACCCGGTTTCCAGCAGGTGCAGCTCCCCACTAATAGATGGAGCCTTCAGCACGGGTACCCACTTACTGGGGATGCTCTTATCACCTCGGTAAGTGGGCTTCCCGATTAGGAAGTACCGAAAAAAACAGGGAAAAAAAAAGAAAAAGAAAAAAAACCGCAGCCCCCCGAAGTGGTTCCCCAGTTGAAGGCTCCATCTATCGGTGGGGAGCTGCACCTGCTGGAAAACCATTTGGATGCAGCCACAGACGCTCCTCCGTGTTTGTCACCCCTTGACCTCTTCCCCCCCCCGCCCCCCCCCGCCCTTATTCCCCTTTTTAAGTTCCACCCAGCCGACCTGCGTATCCCATTCTATTTCAGAGGGACGGACTATATGAGCTAATGGGTTGATTCCCCGGCCTTGAGAGTAACGGTAGGATCATCAGCTAACAAGGAATCCGATATGATTGCCAGTAATTTGCTACCATGTACTTCTGTTTTAAAGTTTTTTTTTTTTTGTTTTTGTTTTTGTTTCATGTATGGGCTTATCCCCGATCATTTAATTTGCGGCCAGAGCTTCCACAACCATAAGAGATTGCAAAGGTTTTTTTTTTTTTTTTTAAACAAAAACCATAAGAGATAAGAAGAGAAATGTTAGACAATTTGGGATGGGCGTCGACGGGTGGTAAGGAGAGGCCAGGTTCTTCCAGGTGACCGCGGGTCTGTTCAGATTTTTTTTCCGTCCCGCAGACGTGGGCCTGTGCGACGTCTGCTTCCCGGGTGTTGCCCTTCACAGCGTGATTGTCAGCCCCACAGGCAGATCTCTCTGTCGACATTTTGCGCCGCCGCGCATCGTCTGTCCTCCGACATTTTTCAAATCTTGCCACTGGAAGGGGAGTGCGCACGGCATAGCGAAGTTCTCACTCGCGACATACACGATGGCGCACTTCAGCCATAGAAGGGAAGGGGCAACCGTCAAAAAGATTCTCTCTCTCTCTCTCTCTGTGTGTGTGTGTGTGTGTGTGTGTGTGTGTGTGTGTGTGTGTGTGTGTGTCTGTAGCCAACTGCCAGATACCTTCCAATCACCACGTGACGAAGGTGATAGCCGGAGCACCACAGTGCTGAAGACAAACGGGGAGGAGGAGGGCCATCAACGGCTATGGAGTTTGGCGAGAGGCTGTGGCTCGACAGTGGTCGTGTCATGCGAATAGGGGAATGGGCAGAACGGGCAGGCATCGGACGTTGATCACAGGAGGCTGCCGTCCCCGCACCGCCAAGGGCGGGTGAGAGGAACCRGAATGTGCYGTTTGTTTGTGGGACGCTAGGACCATCGGCGTGTCACACAATTCGGTGGACCACGGACACAGAAACGGACCGCGGTGAAAAGAAAAAGAAAAAAACAAAAAAAAACTCGCGAAAAATGCAACTTTTAGGGGGACGGGTAAGGGTGCAGGGCTCCTGGGAATTCTTTCCGCACGAATCACCGTGGGTTCCCAGCACGAATCACCGTGGGTCGTGCACGTCGCGACACGCAACATCTTCACAGTAGAAACAGGCGTGTAATTTTCCAACGCCTTCGGACGGGGAACCATGTGGGATCCGATTTTTTCTTCAAAAGTTCCTCTACTAACCAATGTGGGATCAGGTACTTCTTTATTTTGCTTTTGGCTGGCACCGCCATTTTCGTCCGGTAGCGCAGTGCCTGGCCTCCGAGGAATGCGGTGCAGGATACCTTTGCGATTCGGTCGTCGCGGTTTACGAGGGGACCTTGCCGGCTGCAGCTCAGGGCCCGGGAACCCTCGACCTGCAAGTCTGCGCTGCTGAACACTGTTGGCTGCTGAGGCGTGGTCTATGGGTCGGGACCTGACCTGGTCCTTTGGCAATCGGAGCCAGCATCCCATACATGATGGACCTCTTTAACTTGGCTGTAGGGACTGCTGGATAAACTCATTATAATTGCTCATCATCCGAATAGTATGGCGAGTCATTATCGCTGTATCTAGACTGTAAGTTGGCCGGAATACAGCTATAATGACCGGGCGTTGTATTGTGTGAGGACTGTAGGTCCATGAAGAGATAGTGCAGACTCAGCAGAAGTAACAAAGAAAAGAAAAAGAAAAGATAGAATTGTCAAGGAACTGGAGGGACAGAGGAAGGATGGATTTTTTTAATTATTTTTTTTATTTTTTTTTTTTTTTTCGGGGGGAAAGATTTATTTACTGCTGGCTAAGAAGGACAGTGAAGAACGTCTTTTTTTTTGGGGGGGGGCCCCGGTTCCCAGCACGTGCTGCTTCCCATGAATAAGACAGGAGCCGTCAATCCTCGGGGCCCTACTACAGGCGTGGGATCTTACATCTGCACATAGCAGGGGCGCCCCACTCCACGTTTTCGCAAAAAAAAAAAAAAAAAAAAAAAAAACTCGGGACCCTACTACAGGCATGTGATCTTATCTCTGCACATATTACCAGAGGCGCCCCGCTCCACGTTTTTGCAAAAGGACAGTGAAGAACGATGGACCCCCTATCCAGCATGTGCTGGTCCCCACCAATGGATTGCAGCAGCGGCTTCCAGGTTCACTAACTTCTTCACCAGAATATAACGTATCGTGGCGTATCTTTCAGTCTAAGTACAACTATAATGACCGGACATTGTATTCAGGGGCCTGGACCCACTAGCCAAGTATTTTACGATGTGTGACCCAATTTTATGGTTTTTTGGAAAATACAAAGTGATTTTTTATTTGCATGAATGGATCGTTTTCTGATTTAAAATGAATTGAAATAGCACATACAAGTATGAAGAACAGCTGTGCAACCAATTTCATGGGTTGGTACGATCTCCTTCACGTAAGTCTTCATAGTGATGTACGGTGGCAATAAAATTTGTCCACGAACACATTGACGAGGATGAACATGTAACGGGTATTGGGATACATTCCTTGCGATGTATCTCATGATGCCTTTAGCAGGCCATCCGACAGACGCGGAAGCGTTCCTGTCAGATCCACCACAATATTCGAATTTCACATTTCAAGTTCTATTTCTCAGAGCCAAAAAAAAAAAAAACGAAGTCTGGAAATCAATCCCCCCCCCCGTTTAGAGCCCATAAAATCCAGACTTCCTGCCCACGCAAAGCCACGAGCTATCATGTCCAAGTTAGTCCAACTTTTTTTTTTTTTTTTTTGGACGCATCTCATTGGACGGGAGGTGGGCATCTTTACGGTTCTCGCTCTGAAACTACCAGGCCGTCGGAAACTACCAGGCCGTTGAGATCCGATGTATTCGACGGCCGTACTGAGTCACTCTATGCCACACATGATCGAAATCCTGAACGGCGTGGGAGAATACCTTGCTAGTGGGTCCAGGCCCCAGGCGAAGAAGGTAGGGGCGGATGATCTTACCACTCACCCTTAGCTAGCAGATAAAGACTGATTTCTTTTCTAGGGGACAAAAAACACAAAACAAAAAAGCTGAAGGGCTGGAAGGGAGGGCCAGAGAACAAAAGCAGTCAAGTCAAAACAGGATGGATCTGGACACTTTTGCTGTCAGGTGTGGACCATGCGCGTGTGCCAGCTGCATGTCCATGTGAACTCTGACTGGGGCCCAATTTTCAGCACCTGCAATCCTGACTGGGGGCCAAGCCCCCTTTGGCTACCATCTTTCACCCAAAGAGCAAGCACCCTTATCATGACTGTATCAGACCCAGATATAGCTTGTATACATCCATGGAGATATAGCTTTGTATACATTCATGGAGACACAGCTTGTATACATTCATTATAAAGGTGCGTTGTGTTGTGGGAAAGACCGTAGTGGGTGGATTGGCCAGTTTTTTAGCATTGGTCATTTAGAGATGCGTCAGACGGACGATCTTTTTTTTTGTTTGTCTTTTTTGGGCGTCTGACAATCGCATGGTCATATTGCTGGCACATTGAAAAATGCTCCTGGAATTGGCCAGAAAGCTGGGTTGTATACATTGCCCGAACTGCAATTTGAAACTGTATCTTGGCCCATATATATTGCAATTTTAACTCATTTTTGTGACTCCCGCGTAGTTTCCCCTTTAACTCTTTGGAGCTGCCAATTGGACTTCGCTCCTCTTTTTTCGTTTCTTTTGCACTCTTGATTATCCTGTATATGTCTACAAACTAAGGGCATTTAAAAAAGAAAAAACAAAAAAAAACTAAGGGCATACTCACACCAGGGGCAAGGTCCCACTAGCAACGGGATAGGATAGAAACGAGTTTGTGGGGCAGTTGAGTGACACAAATCCTGCTGTGAAGTGTTACCCGAAAAAGTAAGGAGATCTTTGTTCCCCTCCTCCTCTCCTTAAACCACCAGTACTTGGGCACTGTGCGCCGCGCCGGCCGCCCAAATCTCGAAGCAGCGCGGGCTGTCGATTCTATTTATCACTGGGCATGCCCGTGCAAACAAGGCTTCCCGCCAGATTCTTTTCAATCGGGTGGGGGTGTGGCCAACCCCAAAAGAGGTTGGGGTCGTCCTTAGGCCTACTGGATAGAAGATTTTCAGTATTTTACTTGCTGTTGTGCAATAATCTCATTGGGTGGAGCCCTCCTTCAATCACGGAGTACATGGAGGGTGTCAGGATCACTGCTGACAGAAGTCAAGTTTATTCCAGAAAATGTGGCGGTTACTTTGTTCACTATTGTTGTAACCACCACCATCAGATCATTTGTGATCTGATGGATGGGAAGCACTCTGCCGTGATTTCCGGTGGGAGGTCTCTGTTTCTTTTTTTGTCTTTTGCCTTTCTCCTGTTTTTTTTCAGCCCAGAAATTTGTAATGAACCTGTCAGCCCGCTGCCACTCAGTGTCACACTGGATAGGCCACACTTCTATCCGACTGCTAATGGGACCTCGCCCCAGGAGTTTCCTGGATGTATCTGACCACAATTCAACATAAATGCACAATATCATACAATTCAAGATAATAACCAGAAGGGGGCTGATGACGAACATAGAATTTAAGATAACAAGTGGAACCCGCCACGGCTACGCCGCGGCGCACGGCAACACTCGCTGATACCCTCTCTCTCTCTCTCTCTCTCTCTCTCTCTCTCTCTCTCTCTCTCTCTCTCTCTCTCTCTCTCTCTCTCTCTCTCTC